ATTGAGCCCTTTTTGGTTGTTTGCTGTGCACCGGGCCACACACCTGGTGCTTGTAACACATTACCAGGAGTTGAGTCAACGAGCAATGCAGCTCTCTACCTCTAGCAGCTAGAGTCTAGCTTAACCTTAGCTCCCTCATGCAATGAGGATACGAACATTCTTACTATTGTGACATAACATATGGAAAGTTTGCATGAGAAAGCATATACAAAAGGACTTACTGCTTGATGCATAAACTCTGTTCTTTGTCTTCTTTGAGGGAGGGGTCTGCTATTACCTGTTCATGGGAGAAAGACATTTGTAAAAATAAAAGAAATTATACATGGCTTATCATTTAGCTCTGATGATTCGAATCATATTACACAGCACACATAATACCTGCTACCATTCAGAAAGCTGTTATCTTGTGAAACTAATGTTTTAATAGTTCTTTAAAAGGTCTGACAATTGTAGAGAGATCTTAGCCCTTTTTGCTAAGTTTAAATGAAGTGAAAGATTTCCATAGCAGTCATGAATATTAGAACAGCAAATATGTTAAAGAGTTTACTTTTTAATCTTATCATTTTAGAGAAAAAGATGGTGAGGAAGATTTACTGCCTTTGCTTCCCAGCGAAGCAAATTCGTCCCTATATCAAGTGAACAGTTGGTTGCCTGGCTTCTCTCCCACTCACATCAGCGAAACTGATGAGAAGTGAGTTGCTAGGCAGTTTGGCTGGTGTCACGTAAGGCCCAGAATGATGTGATGTATTGCTTCATGCATTAAGCATGCTACTTAGGAAAGCTGTTGTCAGCTTGGCAGAGCTCACCTGTGTTGAGGTTTGTTTTTAATACCAAGAACCAAGTAGCTGGTACCTCTCCAAAGAGATTTACTGTCTAGCATGGGTGTGGTTTTGTGCGGAGGGGAAATATTGCACACAGGATGACTATACTAGCCATCTATTATTGCTGTTGTGTACGTAGTGTCCGTGTAGGATTAAAGATTACAAGTTAAATTCTAATACTTTCAAGATGGGGTAGAAGACGGGAGATGTCTGTTTTAAGAACCAGCAGAGGAAAGCCTTGAACAAATCACTACAGAATGTTACATAAATAGAATACCCCATATTGACAAACCGTTGTGGGAATTTGACACATGCCCTCTTAACAGGCTACACTTTCGAATTACTGTTTTTAAAAGACAGAAACTTAGTAACATTGTTTGGATAGTGATTTGCATTTTATTTTTGAACTTCAAAATACATTTAACTTTTCATAGGAAAACAAAGATACTGAATTTCACTTATTTTTCAGTGTATGGACTGTTTAGTGTGATTGTCCACCTGAAAACTGAGAAATTTTTCTTCAAACACCATTAATTACAACTAAACTAGTAATGTTGCAAAGGGCAGATTATTTAAGTAGCATTTAACATTTCTTGAAAAGCTTTTTATTTGTTATGCATTTTGATAAATATCCTATCTAATAGAGGTAATATGCAAATTGACCATCACTCCAACACACAGATGGCTGCCCCCATGTGGACACAAGAAGATCGCCACAAGATGGCCAGAGGGGAGGGCAATTGTGGGCGATCAGGCCAGCAGGAGAGGGCAGTTGGGAGAGACTAGGCCTGCAAGGGAGGGCAGTTGGGGGCGATCAGGCCTGCTGGGGAGCGCAATTAGGGATGACCGGGCCAGCAGGGGAGGGCAGTTAGGGGTGACCAGGCCGGCAGGGGAGGGCAGTTAGGGGTGACGAGGCCGGCAGGGGAGCAGTTAGGTATCGATCAGGCTGGCAGGCAAGTGGTTGGGAGACAGCAGTCCTGCATTGTGAGAGGGATGTCCTAAACAGGCAGTCAGACATCCCTTGAGAGGCCCCAGATTGGAGAGGGTGCAGGCTGGGCTGAGGGACATACCCCCCATGCACGAATTTCATGCACCGGGCCTCTAGTTGGGAAAATAAGACCCAAATAGTGTTCTGCTCTGAAGGACCAGGTGAAGGAGTGTGGTCTGTTTACTTCTCAGTCATCCTCCTGACGTCCCACCTATTTCATACACTGGCATCACCCTCCCATCTACTGGACAGAAAAGTCCTGAGTGCTGCCTTCCAACTCCTCTCTGGACAGATGTTCCTTGATCTCTCTCCTGTTACCCAAACAGACTCCCTGGGAACCTTACAAACCTGACCATTTCTTTTTGTGATATTTCTTCAATAGCTTTAACTTCTCCCCTTCTTAGTGACTTCTTCCTTTCAGCATTGAAATATGTTTATTACTTTCATCTTGTAAATGACAAAACTCTTACTCTATTCGGCACTCTTCCCTTTTACAGCCAAAGTTCTCAAATTGTATTATCTCCTAATTCATTATCTCCCATTCTTTTTTTTAATATATTTTATTGATTTTTTTACAGAGAGGAAGGGAGAGGGATAGAGAGTTAGAAACATTGATGAGAGAGAAACATCGATTAGCCACCTCCTGCACACCTCCTACTGGGGATGTCCCTGCAACCCAGGTACAAGCCCTTGACCGGAATCGAACCTGGGACCTTTCAGTCTGCAGGCTGATGCTCTCTCTACTGAGCCAAACCGGTTAGGGCTATCTCCCATTTTTAACACAGGCCATTGTAACTTCGTGCTTGCCCCCACCCACCCACTGAGGTGCTCAGGATTCTTGGGTGAAGTGAAAGTGACTCATATTTCAGGCTTCATCTTGAATTCTTGACAGCACTGTCACAGTGGACCACTTCTTGAAATACTTTTCTGAAAATCTTTTTATACCCTTTGGTAGATTATTAAATGCTAGGATTCCTCAAGGCCTCATCTGTTTACTCCCATGGCTTTATTTGCCATGTGTATTCTAACAACTCAAACATTTTTGTCCCCAGCTCAAGCACCAAATCTATAGTTTTTGGTACTAAATTTCTCCACCTGGAAGAAAAAAATACAGCCCTAAGTCTTCCCTGAGCATCAGAGTCCCCTGGAGGGCTCACTAACTCCAGGCTGCTGGCCCGCCTCCACAGTCTCTGGGAGGCCTGTGGCGGGCCTGAGATGCCATTTCTAGGAAGTTCCCAGCTAGCACTGCTGCTGGGGGCGGACTGCACGAGCACTGTGGCGCGGTCCTCAATCACAGAAGCAAAGTAGCCTGTTCACAGCGGGGCCGTGGCAGAGCTGGTCCCAGGAAGTCCTAGCGCTGCCTTCTTCACCCCGTCCCACCCCAGGCATGTTATTCAGCCTTGTTCTGAAGTACGTTTCACTCAGTAAAGTTCACAATTGAACTTCCTACACCTCCTGTTCCCTCCAGAATGGGCTCTTTCCTCAGGTTCCCAGCTGCCATTAGCACCAGTCTGGAAACGTACTCATGACTTATGCGCTCACCCCAGCACCCAGTCTGTCACCAAACCCTGTCAGTTTTCCCCCACAAACTCAAATTCATCCACTTTTCTCCATTTGCCATGGCCATTCAAGCAAGTCACAAGCCACCACCAGCTCTCACTTGTAGTATTAAAATAGCTTCCTAACTGGTCTCCCTGTATCTCCTCTTGCCCTCCTTTGATTCATTCCTACACCAGGAATATTTTTGTTGTGTTTTTTTGTTTGTTTTTTTAAGACAAATGAGACTAGCAGCCTGTTTAAAACCCTTTTATTGCTCTTAGCAAAAAAAGGCCAATTCTTTACGGAAGCCTGCAGGAGCCTACATCACTATTTGTGTCTATTTGGGATCAATTAAACTATTCTTCTCTTGGTCATGATGGAAGTGTTATCCTACTGGCCTCGTAGTATGAAAGTACCAGATCTGGTGGGTGGTTTGGGGTTTAGAGCTGCACTAGAACCACTGCTGGGTAGCCTTTCATTGTATGATTATATTTGCCCCCCGTAAACTTTTTAACTGTTTAAACTTTTAAAGATTTGGTGCTTGAGCTGGGGACAAAAATGTTTGAGTCGTTAGAATACACATGGCAATTAAAGCCATGGGAGTAATAACAGCACTTTTAAACTTTTTAACAGCAATACTTTTAGTATTGAGAGTCGGAGCAGTACAGAATGGTGGTACCAAGGATGGGTCTTGAATAGAAGGCAGGAGAGGGACAGTCCATAGTACGCGGCATTGTAACACTGTCTTCAGAAACGTGCGACTCATCTGGGAGAGTAGATGGTGCCAGTGGGTGAGTCTAGATTCCTAAGCAGGCACCTGAAACATTACCTTGGACTCAGAGGAGTTTGAAGATGATCGTAAAAGCTGTGGTTAACCGTGGGCAATCGTAAGGAAAGGAGCAACTTAAAGATTGATGTTTTTGGAAGATCTCTCAGGCAGTGTGTGGGGAGAGTGGTGGTGGGAGCACTGTATTCAGGAAGCAAGGAGACCAAGGAACTGTTTGAGTCGTTTACTCACTAATCAGGAGAGTAAAGACAAGAGCCAGTTGCAGGCAGTGGTAGAGAAATGAAGAGATGGAACAGATTTAAAGGGATTAACACATTAGTGAGCTTTTTTCTTGTGTGCTGCCTATCACATCCTTTCCACAGTTCACTATGAACTCTTGGGAATGACCTCTTCTCTGATAGCTTCCTTTTTATTTTAGCTTTATATTTCTTTCCCACCTCTGAGCCATATGATGTTTTATACATCTAGTACTTTGTACCAGCAGTAGTCGTCCTCTGTTGGGTGCCAGACATCATAATTATAACCCTTGGTTTGCAGTAACCTAATTTCTCTGTCAAATCTGATACAAGTAGATGCATGTGAGAAAACTGACATGCGCTCATGTGGCCAGTAGCAAATGGAGCTGGAGGACCTGAGCACCGGGCTCGCAGCTCATGCTCTCCAGTGCGCCATGCTTGCTGCTGAGTGCGCACTTACTCCTGTGGTTGGAAATCAGGTCTTGCCCTTCTGTGCCTTGCGGTGTTGAGCATGTGTTCAGCACTTGCAGACAGCCCTCTGTGTGTCCAAGAAACAGTTCCAGGAGGGAGTGTGTTGGGTGGCGGCTGTGGTGCGGCTGTAATAACAGATGACTCTCCATCTCTTTCAGATCTGGATGGTGCTCTGCTCCCGGGGCCGGACTGTGACAGGACTGTGAACGCAAACGTGCTGGCAGAAGCCAGCTTGGGGCAGGATGCAGGCGATGCTGGTAGGCACAGCAGGACTTGTTGTTGTCGACAGTATTACAGTGTCCCTTTAACCCCCCTCCACGGTGCAGTAAGAATTTAAAAAGAATACATTTAAGAGGATTTGAGGATTGGGAGGTGTTTGTGTACATGTTTACTAAGGACCTACTCCAGTTTCTTTTTCGTAAAGGAGAGGATTATATGTAAGTACTTTCATCTGTGGTGTCTGTGATGATGATGGACTTTGGAAGCCTGTAAATAAAAAGATAGGCATTTCTCCTTTGTTGGGTGGACATTGTAAAACTCAATATCAAAGTAATTATGATGACTTCTGTTAAAGCAGCGGTTCTCAATCTTGGCTGCACATTAGAATCATCTGGGAATCTTTTTAAAATCCTGATTTCTGGGCCTCATCTTCTGGAAATTCTATTTCTTTGTTACTAATGTTGTGGCCTCACCCCATAACAAAGAAACAGAATTTCCAGAGGATGATGCCCAGAAATCAGGATTTTAAAAAGATTCCCAGGTGATTCTAATATTCAGCCAAGGTTGAGAACCACTGTGTTAAAGTATAGATGGCATGAGAATGGTAATTATTAGAATGATTAATGTATTTTAATTAGCTTTGATATAAAATAATTGGCTGTTGCTGGCTACAAAAAATATTAATTCTAAATAGTAATATTTACCTGGTATATCAGCTGTACTTTAGGGAACAAAGAATTCATGCACATTCCACAGAATTACATGAATACATTATGAGTCAGTTAGAAAGGGAAAGCTTTCTTTACAGAAGAAGGACAAGCTAATAAATATAGAAGAATGATATTTGTGCATCCCCACAGGAAATAACTCAAGAACATCACTCTATAGTGATAGGTTGATGGGCTTCCAGGACTGAGCACAGGGATGTGGGAATGGAAGGTTTACAGAGTGATGGTGTCTTCAGTCACAAAGAGGAAAAGGTGGCTGTACAATAAAGAGGTCTGATGAGTGACCATCACCGAGTGATCAGACATAGTGCTACAGTGAAAGGAACCGGAACACGGGCCTCCTGACGCACAGTGTTTATGGTGTTCTTGCCCCAGATCTGATCACACAGGAAAGATGGACGTAAGTCCAGCTAGTCCAGATTCTAAAATCTAGTGCCAGGAAAAACAAGCAGAGGGACCATGGATTGAGGGGACCAACCAAGCACACAGTGTCCATCATGACTATATCATGAGTCCCAACAAGGACTAAAGGGGCATTTGGGGCACAGCTGGATATTTAAATATGTCGTATGGATTAAATGACAGGTGTTGAACAACTTTAAATTTCTTGGATGTGATAAAGGTGCTGTGGTTATGTGGGAGAAAGTTCTAGAAGATGCACACTGTGTTTAGGGGTGAAGTGATGGTTGTACAGCTGGTTTTCAAATAGACATCAAAGGTGTGTGTATGTATTGCAGAGCATTCTGCAAAATGAACATTTGTTGAATGTACATAAAGGGATATAGATGGTCATTGTTTCAGCTTGTGTAGCCTCGACATTTTTTAAAGAATTGATGGGGAGGGGACTACTAGGAGTACTTCTTACCAAAAGCTGTTGGGCTTCTGAAGTCAGAATACACCAGCAAAAAACGAAGCTAAAACTCGGAGAAGCTCCCTTAAGGTGGTTTCTCCTAACTGTTGAAAGAATTTACAAAAAAGGTTTTGAAGTTAGCAGTTTACAGATTATTTGATTTAGAGTCACTTGTCTTTAGGGGACACTTTGATTCATTGGATTTTTTGCAACTGAGACCAGTCTTTATCTTAAAATTGTGACTATAAAAACATTGTTGTCTTCTTAGTTTGCCATTATCCTATATAATAAAGATGTAATATGCAAATGGTTGCTATGCCGTGAAGTGTAATGGCTGACTGCATAACGACCAGATCATGGATCAGGTGGGGCAGCAAGCTCAAGCAGGGCAGGTTAGGGCAGCAAGCTATGAGGGACTGAGCGGGCCGGGGCGGGGGGGCAAGTGTCCCACCCCAGCCATGGAGAGCCATGGGCAGTGGGCGTGGAGCGGCCAGGCCCCGCAGAGAGCTACTGGCGCACGGATTCATGCACAGGGCTACTAGTGGAATCATAAGTAAGCACAATTTTGCAGTAGATTTTCAATGACTTTAGTGATCCTTCAGTGGGTTAAATTACAAAGGAACCTTTCTTCAAGCTGCTCTTAGGTATCCTACAAGATAGCCCATTATTGTAAGAATTGGGAGAGGTGACTAAGTTTGGGATAAGCCTTCCTTAATTTAAATTATTTTGAATTTCAGAATGCTCTCTTGCCTATTATCATGAATGCTTTTTGTTATGTCTTTACTGTAGGTTATTTAGAAAAACATGGAATTTCAAGTATTAAAAATCTTTAATTCTGACTCTTGGATTATCAGTTCATGTTTTAGGCTATTCTGTCTGTTCCTTTATGTAATGAATAATATTTAGTTGATATCAGCATATCTAACATGATTTCTTATGTTAATTTTTCAAGTATTTTGACCATGTCAGAAATACCATTTGCCAGATACCATTTATTCAACAAATAACTGAAGAGTATGTTTTGGACATTAAAAACACAAAGGCAAGCCCTGACTGGTTTGGCTCAGTGGATGGAGCGTCGGCCTGCAGACTGAAGGGTCCCAGGTTCGATTCTGGTCAAGGGCATGTACCTTGGTTGTGGGCACATCCCCGGTAGGGGGTGTGCAGGAGGCAGCTGATCGATGTTTCTCTCTCATTGATGTTTCTGACTCTCCCTCTCCTTTCCTATCTGTAAAAAAAAAAAAAATCAGTAAAATATATTTTAAAAAAATACAAAGGAAAGACAGGCATTGATTTG